CCCCCAAGCCTCTCCTCACATCTCTCCGAGGGGAGAGCCAAAGCAAAGGGCCTAACACGGTTCCAGCTCCGGGGCTGGTCCACCAGCCAGAAGCCAGTCCCTGGGCACCGGGGGCCGCTGCACGCCCTTCCCCAGCCCACCCGCTCCCCTCACCCGCAACGCCGCCAGCCACCCACGGGGAGCGGGCTGCGAAGCCCAGGGGCCGAGGATGGAAAGCGATTCCAAGGGACCGCGGCCAACGACTCACCATCTTGCCTCTGCCGCCGAGACCAAAGAGGCCGGAAGAGGAAGCACTTCCGCTATACCACCCTCAGACGCTTCCGCCCAGGGAACTACTTCCTGAAGGCGCGGTGCAACCTCCTTAAGTGTCCGTCGTCCACATTATGGGTCGGGTCAAGAGGTGGCGGCTGAGGCAGGCCTAGCCAATCGAGTTTCAGAATCCGGGAGGGGGCGTGGCTGTCAGCTAGTACGTCAGGGAGTGGGCGTGTCACCCCGGCTCGCCAGTCTGCTGGATCCGGGGGAGTTAAGTACGGTTTTGTTGCTGGTCCCGGTTAAGGTCGCTTTTCGCCGGCAGGGTTGGCGTCTCCCCGTGGATTCGGCGCTCCGGGCATTGGCCTCATTACAGATTGGGACTGGAATCCCGTTCCAGGCCAGGTTCGTCCTTCCTTCGGGACGGAGGCTGCTGGCGACCCTCGCCGTGTTAGGCACTCGGGGGCAGAGGTTGGACCTTGCCGTTCATCCTGCCCTGTGGACCTTGTAAATAAGCTTCCCTCACCGAGTGCTGTCAGATCCATTCTGCGGGGCTGGGTAGGCTGAGATTGATCATTCTTAGCTCACCTTGATAAATGCCATTGCTTTTATCTCAGAAAAAAGACCCAAACTCGCAAAAACAACCCCCAGGCATTTAAAAATAAACAGGAGAAAAAGTCTCAATCATATAATCTTCACACTTCCTAAAGCAAACACTTCTCGCAATCTCACAAGCTAAATTTTAGAAAAATGATAGGTAGCAGAGTAAGATGGACACTGGGAACCAGAGGTTCCGTTTTCTCGGATTAACAATTAGTGCCCGTCAAGTAATAGGGTCTCCTTTAGGGGAAGGTTTACAAACAAGTTTGGAAACTGGCAAGTGGGAGGAAGGAGGAGTAGAGGCTAGACAAGAAAGCGACCGGACGTTAAGTGATTGCACCAAACTGTACATCAGCTGGGTTATCTCTTGTATTTTTCTACTTTGACTAGTTGCTACAAACTTGGTTACATAAAACAATACTAGTCCCAAAGTAGAAAGTTTCACTTATTAAACTAAGTTCTAGATATCCGAAGTACAATATCATGCCTATAGTCAACAATATTGTATTGCACACTTAAAATCTGTTGAGAGTGGATCTGAGGGTAAGTGTTCGGTGTGTGTGTGTGTGTGTGTATTCAAGCTCTGGCTCCACGGCTAGCAGTCTCATTTGAGGCACAGCTCTGGTCAACTGTTTTGTTGATTAATTGATGATAGAGTCTCACAGACTTGTTTTGCCCTAGCTGGCTTCTAATTATGATGCTCAAATCTCAGCCTCCTATGGCTAGGATCTTTACCACAACAAAAAACATTTGTAAGGATTCTTCTGATCAGATGCACCAGAAGGATCTTCCTGGTAGGGCTAACGGTGTACTGCCTCTGAGGTGGAGCACGTGCTCACTGTTAATGTATGAGAGTGTGAGAGGCTCTGGGTTTTATTCCCCAGTACCACAAAACTAAATGGAAAAGTTGGCAGAACAGCCTTTTTCTTGGAATCTCTAGGAACAAATCTGTTATAGTCCTCTTTTTAGATTCTAGAAGTTAAATGAACTTTTCGTTTTATTGCTCCCTCTACCTACTTCCTTCCTTCCTTCCTTTTTTTTTTTTTTTGTCGGTCATGGGGCTTGAACCCTGGGTTTGGGCACTATCCCTGCACTCTTCAGCTCAAGGCGAGCGCTCTACCGCTTGAGCCACACTGCCACTTCCGGTTTTCTAGTGGTCTATTGGAGATAAGAGTCTCACGGACTTTTCTGCCCGGCCTGGCTTTGAACTATGATCCTCAGTCAGATCTCAGCCTCCTGAGTAGCTAGGATGACAGGCGTGAGCCACTGGCTTCCTTCCTTCCTTCCTTCCTTTCTCTTTTCTTTCTCGTTCTCTCTTTTTTTTGTTGGTTGTGGGGCTTGAACTAAGGGTCTGGGTGCCATCTTTGAGCTCTTTTGCTCAAGGCTAGCGCTCTACCACTTGGAGCCACAGCACCATTTCGGGGGTTTCTGAGGTTAGTTGGACATAATAGTCTCTTAGACTCTCCTGCCTAAGATGGCTTCAAACTGTGATCCTCAGATCTCAGCCTCCTGACTAGTATTACAGGCATGAGCCACCAGCACCTGGCAAGCTTTCTTTGCATATTAACTATTTATCTTTAATAATAAGCACTTATAAATCCATTCCCTGAGCATATCCTACATCTAACTTTATAGTTTCCCCTTCTGCTAATTCCACCCCTTCCTTTCCCTCCCTGCCTCAGATAATCATTCTTCTGAATTTCACATTCATTATTTCTCTCCGCCCCTCAAGTTTTATATAAGTTTTGTTGTTCTTTTTTCTTCTGAGACAGGGCCTGCTTTGTTGTCCAGACTGGCCTCCAACTCCCAGGCTTATGCAATCAATCTTAGTGCTCAGCCTCATTGCTGGGGCTACCGTTTTACCACTTACTACTATGCTTTTTATATTGTTACGTGTGTGTGTGTGTGTGTGTGTGTGTGTGTGTGTGTGGTGTTTAAAAGGATGTCATGATGAGATCTTTTTGGGGACTCAGCATTTTCCCTTAATATTTTTGCAATTTTCTATATGATAGGTTGCTGAAATTCATTCATTTTGAATGTTGCATAGATCTTGTTGAGTAAGATTTATGCATCCTGTTGACAGTTATTTAGATTGGTTTTAGGCTCTTGTGAACTATATAATTGTAAATAAAGACCAATTAATTTTTTTGAGAAATCAAAATGAGAAAAAGCATGTTAATAAACACAACTTTAAGGGCTGGGAAGGTGGCTCAGTGGTAGAGGGCTTGCCTTGCATGCATGAAGCCCGGGGTTCGATTCCTCAGCACCACATAAGCAAAAAGAAAAAAACCGGAAGTGGCGTTGTAGCTCAAGTGGTAGAGCGCTAGCCTTGAGCTGAAGAGCTGAGGGGCAGTGCCCAGGCCCAGAATTCAGGCCCCACCACTGGACCCTCCCCCCCAAAAAATAAAAAATAAACACAATTTTGAAAGCTTAAAGTTAGACCAGCTATGGTGATGCATACCTGTAATCCTAGCAGTTGGGAGGCTGAGGTAGAAGAATAGTAAGTTTGAGGCCAGCCTAAGCTGTGTGTCAAAACCTGGACCAAAACCCCCAAATTCAGCTGGGTGCTGCAATCCTAGCTACTTAGGAGGTTGAAATCTGGGTGTCATGATTCAAAGCCAGCCCAGGAAGGAAAGCCCCTGAGACTCTTCTCTCCAATTAACTACCAGAAAATTTTAAGTGGTGCTCTGGCTTAAAGTGGTAGAGTGGCTAGCCTTGGGTGAAAAAGCTCAGGGACAGCGCCCAGGCCCTGCATTCAAGCCCCACAGCTGATTTTAAAAAAATTCATCTGGTGGGCTCTGGTGGTTCATGCTTAGCTACTCAGGAGGCTGAGATCTGAGGATGGAGGTTCAAAGCCATCCTGAGCAGGAAAGTCTGTGAGATCTTTATCTTTAGTTAACCAACTAAGAACTAGAAGTGGATCTGTGGCTAAAGGGTAGGGTCAGTGCCCAGGACTTGACTTCAAGCCCCATAACTAACAACAACAAAAACCCAAATTCAAAAAAAAAAGTTTAAAAAAGAAAGTATAAATCCTGGGAGCTGGAGGTACGGCTCAATTGATGAGTGCTGCCTAGCAAATTTAAGGCATTGAGTTCAAACCCAGCACACCAAAAAAAAAAAAAAGTGAAAGTATAAATTCTTCTGTAATCATATCCCCAGGGATAACCATGTTAAAAATTTGGGATATTTTTTCTAAATATAATAAACATTTGCACATATATATGCTATATACCTGATACGCTTTTAAAAATCAGATAGCTTACTGTTTTTCTATAACAATATATTATCAGTGTCATTATTTGTCAGTTTGAAGAGATTTGTTTTGCTCTTCATGTAATATTCCACAAATTCTCCCGTATAGGAGAGAATTTAGGGTATCTTTGACTTTCTGCCATTACAAATAAGCTGTAATACAGAGTTTTTGTATATGTGTGCTTGGGATTCATCTACTTATTTCCTTAAGATAATTTCCCAAAGTGGAATTGCTCTATTGAGTTTTCTCTCTCCCTCCCTTCCTTCTTTTCTTTTCTTTCTGTAGTGGGGCTTGAACTCAGGTCTGACTAGCAAGTATGATCTATTTTTCTTTTTTTCTTTCTCTCTCTGTCTCTCTCTCTCTTTCTTTCTTCCTTTCTTTTTTTAAATACATCCAAGACAGCCAGAATGAAATTCTGGAGACTAATGTTAGCATATGGGGCTATGTGGCCCAAATCATGCCTCAGCATCCTGTTTTTTGTTTGTTTGTTTGTTTTTTTGGGAGTATTTTTTATTGTAAAAATACTGTACAGAAGGGTTACAGTTACATGAGCATGGTAATGAATACATTTCCTATTGAGCATTGTAGCTCACTCCCTTACTTAATGCTGCATCTGGGTCAGATTGCTCTCCAAAATTTACTCAGTTCTTAGTCAATCAGTAATCTCAGTAATCTCAGTATAGTACTCAGAGCAGAGAATACCTACTGCAGCCTGAAGTTCTAGAGCTGCTTCTTAAAGAGTTAACAGGCTGAATATTGATGAAAACAATTTAGCCATCCAGAGTAGGTGGGACTGGGGGTGAGACAGCCACAAAGCTTACCAGGAAGCCTTAGAGCTGCCACACCCACGCATAGCAGGAAGTAATACACAGGAAGCCAGGGTCTGAGTGCTCAGGACTGAGTGCTCAGGAGGAGAAGCCCCTACTATGCCGTGTCCAGGACATTGACACATTTTATCTTTCCCCAGAATAAGATTACTCTGTTGTTGTTTTTAATAACTTTGTTTATCTGTCTGTGGGAATCACTTTTTAACCCACTTCCTGGTCGGGAGGAAATGGAAACAATGGCCTGGGAGATGACTGCCTGGGAGTTCATAGAAGGACAACGGAAAAAGTTGCTGGTGATCCTCCAGCAAGATCCCGATTCTGTCTTAGACGCGTTGATCTCTCGGAGTGTGATTTCTGGGGAGGAGTATGAGACTCTGGACAGAGTTACAGATCCCCTGAAGAAAAGTCGGAAACTCTTAATTTTGGTTCAGAAGAAGGGAGAGATGTGCTGCCAGCGTTTCCTCAGGTGTTTATTTAATACATTTCCAGAGTCAGCTCCCTCTTGGGACTTAAAACTTGGTAAGTTAAACTTTTATACTTTGGAGTTAAGAGACAGGAGGTAGATTTTCTGATACAAAGATTTTAAAAAGAAAATGTTTATCAGGTTTTTATTATAAAAATGACTATTTTCATTTGTTTTCTCCCAGAGATAATTTTCGCTGAAATATGAGGTGGGGGTATGTTATGAATTTAAGAAGCAAGAAACAATATGTCTTGTTGGTTTAGAAGATGGTGATTTGTCCCTTCAGACTGGACCAAAATTTTCCATTGTTTTGTGTTATCTCCGTAAGGCACTCATAGTTTTGGCAGTGCGGTCCTGAATTTCACAGCTGGAAAGGAAGGAGTACTGTGGGGGCACCCTCTGAGGGCTGCCTTTTCCAGTTACTTCATACATGGTAACAATGCCAAGACTACAGAGTGTCTTTCAGGTAGGATAGCCAGTAGGAAAATACAGGAATCTTTTTAATATCCCTAAAGGGCAGATCAGAGACTTCATTTTCTGCGTGCTAAGAATGCCAGCAGAACTTGTTTCCTGCAACCTAGTTGTTCCATTACAATTAATGCTACTTTTTTTGGAATGTGATTATATATTTCATATGCTATTATTGTTGTTGTTGTTGTTGGTAGTCGTGGGGCTTGAACTCTGGGCCTGGGTACTGTCCCTGAGCTCTTCAGCTGAAAGCTAGCGCTCTACCACTTGAGCCACAGAGCCCCTTCTGGCTTTCTCTGTTTCTGTTTCTGCAGTGTTGAGGTGGTGCTCATGCTTATGCTTATGAGGCAAGCACTCTACCTGTGAGTCATCTTCCCAGTTCATTATTACTATTACTATTATTATTGTCGGTTGTGGGCTTTGAACTCAGGGACTGGGTGCTGAACCTGAGCTTTTTTGCTCAAGGCTAGTATTCTACTGTTTTGAGCCACACATAGCTCAACTTCCAGTTTTCTGGAGGTTAAATGGAGATAAGAGCCTCACCTGTACTTTTCTGCCCTGGCTGGCTTGAGAACTATGATCCTCAGATCTCAGCCTCTTGAATTGGTAGGATTATAGATATTAGCCACCGGTGCCTGGCTTTATATATATTATTCTTAATGGATACATAATAATGATACATACTTATGAGTTTCAGTGTGATAGCTTAATATGTGTATAAAAGGTCTAATGTTTGGCATATTTATTACTTCATTATTTAAAAATTCTCTTTAGCTGGGTGCTGGTGGCTCATGCCTATAATCCTAGCTACTCAGGAGGCTGAGATCTGAGGATCACGGTTCAAAGCCATCCCGGGCAGGAAAGTCTGTGAGATTCTTATCTCCAATAAACCACCAGAAAACCGGAAGTAGAGTTGTGGCTCAAGTGGTAGACGCTAGCCTTGAGCTGAAGAGCTGAGGGACAGGGCCCAGGCCTGGAGTTCAAGCCCCATGACTGACAAAAAAAAAAAAAAAAAAAAGACAAAAAATCCTCTCTACTAGCTACTCTGAAATATACACAAATACTAATAATTAGATTAAAAAGTAACTTATAGCCCAAAGGAATCAAAATCATCATAATAGAGATACCTGCCTGTTTATTTTAGCAATGTTCACAAGATCTAGATACAGAATCAGTTTAGGTGGTATTGATAACAACAGATGAATGGATAAAGTTTGCAGTGCTGGGCTTCAGTGCTCACATCTATAACCCAAGTTTACTCAGGAGGCTGAGGTGTGAGGAATAAGATTCAAAGCCAGCCCAGGCTGAAAAATCCATGAAACACTTATCTATGATTAACCAGCAAAAAGCCAGAAGTGGAAGTATGACATGGTAGAACACCAGCCTTGAACAACCATACCAGTCTGAGAGCAGGAAGCCAAGTTCAAGCCAAGTACCAGCGGGCACACACACGCGCATGCACACACACACACACACACACACACACACACACAGAAAGATGGAAGGTAGAGTATCATTTAGCCATGAAAATAAATTGTATCATTTGCTGAGAATGAATGGAACTAGGCATCATCACCATAAGCAAATTAAGGCAGACTCAGAAAGACAAATGCATGTTTTCTCATGTGTGGAATCTAGACTTAAATAAAAGTAGAAACCAGGACTTTTTTGCCTCCCAAATACTAATTATCCCAGTTACTTGGGAGGCAGACACTGAGAGGATGACATTTCAGTGCCAGCTGAGGCAAGAAAGTCAGTGAAACCCATATCACCCAACAAGCCCAAGTATGGTGGCATGCACTTGTGGCTCCAGCTACAGGGAAGTGTAGTAAGATGGTAGTGATCCGAGGCCAGCCTCATAAAGAAACAATAGATCCGATCCAAGAAAAAACAAAGGGCTAGGGTTGTGACTCAAGGGGTAGAACACTGCCTACCAGATATACGACACCGAGTTCAAACACTGCTATGGCAAAAACAAAACAAAACATGAAAGTAGAATGGTACTGTTCAAGAAGAGGAAAGAGAAGAGTGGGAAAATAGTGGGGGAGCAAAAGAGATTAGTGGGATGAGTGAATATGATCAAAATACATTATAGGGGCTGGGAAGGTGGCTCAGTGGTAGAATGCTTGCCTTGCATGCATGAGGCTCTGGGTTCTATTCCTCAGCACCACATAAGCAGAAAAAGCCAAAGTGGCTTGAGCTGTGGCTCAAGTGGTAGAATGCTAGCCTTGAGCTGAAGAGCTGAGGGACAGTGCCCAGGCCCAGAGTTCAGGCCCCACCACCAAAAAAGAAAAAAAAAACAAAAAAAAAAACCCAAACACATTATATACATGTTATCATGAAAATCCCATTTTTTGTAAAATTAATATATACTAATAAAAAATTGATAGGCTGAGTGCTCATACATGTGATCCTAGCTACTCAAGAGGCTGAGACCTGAGGATCATGGTTCAAAGCCAGCCCAGGCAGAAAAGTCCATGAGACTTATCTCCCATTAACCACCAGAAAACCAGAAGTGGCACTGTGGCTCAAAGTAGTGGAGGGCTAACCTTGAGCAAAAGGAGCTAAGAGATAATGTCTGATTCAAGCCTCATGACCGACCAAAAAATAAATTGATAGTTTCTTTTTTATTTTTTTATTGTGGAAATTGATAGTGTCTTGAGTGGACTATGTCTGCAGTAATTTTGGGAGAAGCAGAGGCCGGATGATCATGAGAATGAGGCCAGCCTAGTCTATGGTACTGGATTCCAGGCCATCCTGGGAAATAGTAAGACGTTATCTCAAAAAGAAAAAAAAAATTACAGCTTCTTCAAAAAAAGCGATAATGGCTCTACTACCATAACAATAGCAATAATAACTAGTAGAAGATGAGGGAACAGTAACTATGGAATCTGCTTACTCATTAGGAATTACTGTTTTTTTCAATTTCAAGTTTTTAGTGGTTCTGGAGTTTTGAATTCAGGGTCTGCTGCTTAGAACCATTTGAGCCATGCCCCCAGCCTGTTTTGATCTAATTTCTTTTTTTCCCTTTAAACAATGAAACTCCTAAATTTATCCCTAGGCTAACTTGGATGATGTTCCTCCTCTCAGGACTTCCCACCTACCTGGAATTATTGGTTGACATGGGGTCTTGTGAGCTTTTCGTCTGAGCTGGCCTTAAACTGAGATCCTCCTGATCTTTACCTAGGATTACAGGTGTGAGCTACTGTGCTTGCCTTTTATTTACTCTTTCATAGGGTCTTGAATTCATGCATAGGCTGGCTTGGACCAGTCATGCTATTTATGCCTCCCACGTAACTAGGGTGACAGGTACATAATACCCCACACAGCTTCTTTGGTTGAAATAGGATCTTTCAGACTTTTTGCCCAGAATGGCCTTGAATTGTGTCATTATGCCTGACCTTCTTTAAGAATTTCCAAGATAAAATTTTATTAACAATGGCCCCAGGAAATCCGAATTGTGGGTCATACTACGTCTACAAAAATACCTGGTCCATAGCATTCAGATTTTCTGTGTTAATTATTTACCTGTGAATGATGTGAGAGGCTCACACTTTTTTTTGGTCATGGGGCTTGAACTGGATATTGTCCCTGAGCTCCTTTTGCTGAAGGCTAGTACTCTACCACTTTGAGCCACAGGTCCACTTCCAGTTTTCAAGTGGCTTACTGGAGATGAGTTGTGGACTTTCCTGTGTGAGCAGGCTTCAGACTGCCATCCTCAGATCTCAGTAGCTAGGATTACAGGCATGAGCCACCAGCTCTAGGCTCAAACTTTTGTTAAAGGCAAGAGTGATCCAATTTTTCTTTTTTTGGGAACTCTTTAACTTGTTGTGGTTATTGTAAAGGTGGTGTGCGGAGGGTGACAGTTACATGCGTCAGGTACAGAGTACATTTCTTTCTGGACAGGGCCACCCTTCTCTTGCTCTCACAGTTTTTCCCTCTTGTCCCCGCCCACAAGTTACTAGATGGTTCATTTTCAACATAGTGTCTAGTGAGTATCACTGCTTGCATTTGTTCACCCTTCCTTCTTCCATTTCTACGTGTCCCTTTGCCTGCCCAAAGACAAGATAAATGAACAAACAAGACAAGAAAAAAAACAGCAACAAAGAAAAAAACCTATTGTTTCCATTTCTTGGAGTTCATTTTGATAAATACTAATTTATATACTCAGATGTACATAGGCATTGGGCCTTAGTGTTGCTCTTCGAAGAGTAACTTCCTTTGGTCTCACTGTGTGTAAATGCCTAGAATCTTGTATAATTTAACATGATTCAGTTTTTTTTTTTTATGGGAGGAAGCAAACTTTTTTTTGTTGTTGTTGGTCATGGGGCTTGAACTCTGGGCCTGGGCGCTGTCCCTCAGCTCTTCAGCTCAAGGCTAGCACCTTACCTCTGAGCCACAGTACCACTTCTGGTTTTCTGGTGGTTTATTGGAGATAAGAGTCTCACAGACTTTCCTGCCCGGGCTGGCTTTGAACGGTGATCCTTAGATCTCAGCCTCCTGAGTAGCTAGGATTACAGGCATGAGCCACCAGTGCCCAGCTCACAGGTCTTTTTTTTTTTTTTTTCCCCAGAGTTTTTCCAGCATAAGAATATAGCACCTCAGTGTATTGGGGTAAACAAAAATTCAGAAAATACAATTTCCTCTGTTAAGAAAGAGCCTGGGAATCCCATGATCACAGCATCCTCCAGTGAGAAGCAACAGTCGTGTTTGGAGACCTCTGAGTTTTTCCCAGAGAATGGGAAGGAATGCCAGACACCAAATGTCACATTACCATGTCCCATTGGAAAAGCTGACTCTGAAGTTCCAGTGACTATTACATACTTAAGGGATGGACAGAGATATGAGGAGCCAGACGATTCTTTATACTTAGGAGCAGAGGACTATGAAGCGTCTGTTGGATTTCCTGAAGACACAGCCACCAGCATGGAAGAGGGCGTTTGCAATGAGGCAGAGCGCATTGTATGTGGTGGTGAGGAAGAACCCGAGTATTCCGAAGCCGTGAGGTCATCTGATGAAGAAGACCACTATGATGATTCAGAAACCAGTTTTTCCTTGGAGGAGGAGGAGAAAATTCTGCAAGGTATGGACACAGTATGTGTACAGTTAGGCAAGATCTCATCAACAAATTAATAAAGTTGATGGGAAGGACATGTCACATAATAATGAGTAGAAAATCTACTCATCAGAAATTCCTTGGGGCTGGGAAGGTGGCTCAGTGGTAGAGCGCTTGCCTTGCATGCCAGAGGCCCTGGGTTCGTTTCCTCAGCACCACATAAGCAAAAAGAAAAAAGCCAGAAGTGGCGCTGTGGCTCAAGTGGTAGAGCGCTAGCCTTGAGCTGAAGAGCTGAGGGACAGCGCCCAGGCCCAGAGTTCAGGCCCCACAACTGGACCCCCCCCCGCAAAAAAAAAGAAAAAAAAAAAGAAATTCCTTGTACCTCCCTTCACATGTCTCATTGTGTTGTTTCTTTTTCTTGCCAGTCCTGAGGCTTGAACTCAGGGCACTGTTCCTGAGCTTCTTTTTGCTCAAGTCTAGCTCTCTACCACTTGAGCCACAGAGTTACTTCTATCTTTTCTGTTTATGTGGTACTGAGGAATTGAACCCATGCATGTTAGGCAAGCACTCTATCACTAAGCCATCTTCCTAGTCCAGTCTCTTTTTTTTTTTGGGGGGGGGTCCGGTAGTGGGCCTGAACTCTGGGTCTAGGCACTGTCCCTCAGCTCTTCAGCTCAAGGCTAGTGCTCTACCACCTGAGCCACAGCACCACTTCTGGCTTTTTTCTTTTTGCTTATGTGGTGTTGAGGAATAGAACCCAGGGCCTCAAGCATGCAAGGCAAGTGCTCTACCACCGAGCCACCTTCCCAGCCCCAGTCTCATTGTTTTTGAGGCCAGATATCTAACATTGAGGTACTAATTGGGTTGCTTCCATCTGAAGACTATGAGGAAGGCCTGTTTTTAGCTTCTGGAAGTTCACCAAAAATCTTTAGTGCGTGCGTGCGTGCGTGCGTGCGTGCGTGCGTGCGTGCGTGCGTGTGTGTGTGTGTGTGCTGGTCATGGGTCTTGAACTCTGGGCCCTTACCTACCTATTTGTGCCCCTCACCTACCCTACGTACCTATTTGTGCTGGTAATGGGGCTTGAACTCAAGGCCTTGTTCTCACCTTTTTTCCCCCTCAAAGCTGGCACTATACTACTTGAGCCATACCTCTCTTTCCAAAAATAAATAATTTGTTTAGTTTGCTATTGTTTATGTAAAAATAAAAGTATCCACTGAGAAAAAAAACTATATCTTTCTGGATAAGCATGACTAATTGTATTGTCACATAAAGAAGTGCGTGCAGCAAGTATACTGTTCTACCTTGAACATGCAAAATTGATAGGTAGAGTGGTGAAATGCGACTTTCCCTTGGTTTATATTACTTCTGCTTTTTGCTGTAAAAATTTCACTTGTTTTAATTTTAAATGGCAGTGAAAGAAAACTATATTCTAAGCACAGCATTCACTGAATACCTTTTCCTTTACAGAAAATAAAAAGATATTCAAAGATGTCCTGTCCTCTTTGAACATGGATAGAAGCAGAAAGCTTCTGCCAGATTTTGTGAAACAGTTCTCCTTAGATCGAGGCAGTGGTTGGACACCCAAGACTCCGGCAGACTTGGTGTGGAATTTCCTGATGAAAGTGCAAGCACTTGATGTGACGGCCAGGGATTCAGTCCTCAGGCACAAGATTCTGGGTGAAGTCGGCAAAGAGGTATTGCTGACTAGACTGGAAAATCTGGAAATGGAAGACACAGCAACCATGAATCCTCTCGATGTCCTTTGTGCCAGCCTGCTGTGTGCAGACAGCTCTTTGCAGCGCCAAGTCATGTCAAACATGTATCAGTGTCAGTTTGCCCTTCCCCTGCTTCTTCCAGATGCAGAAAACAACAAAAGCATCCTGATGCTGGGGGCCATGGAGGATGTTGTAGAGAGGCAGTCTCCACAGTCCTCAGTAGGACCCACGGGGGCCAGGCAGGAGTCTCTTAGAGTTATGAAGCTGCCTGTCATCTCTTTTGTTCGCCTGGGACACTGTAGCTTCTCCAAGTCCAAAATCCTCAACACACTGCTCAGCTCTGACCAGCTGAAACCACACATACCCTTCCTCCATCAAGATGTGTCTGTTCCCGTACTTCCCAGGCAAATCTCGGATGGCCTGCTTGAGATAACCTGGTGTTTTCCTGATAACGATCATCTGAAGGAAGGCCTTAATATTTCCCATAAGCCTTTTGCCGTGACCAACCTTCGTGGAGATCTAGAACGCTTTTGGACACAGTTTAGTTTTATGATGGAAGTTTCTGCAGCCGTGTTTTTTTTCACTGACAGCCTAGGTGAGAAGCAATGGGACTTGCTAATGTTTTTAGGAGAAATTGCCATTGAAAGATGCTATTTTGTTCTCAGTCCCCAGGCCAGAGAGAGTGAAGAGGCTCAGATGTTCCAAAGGATGCTGAACTTGAAGTCGTCACAGCTATTGTTTTGGGAGGGGGAGGAATCAGGGGATAGAAGAAAGAACATGGAGGCCCTTCGAGCTGCCCTCCAGGAAGTGACGGCCTCCTCACTTAGAGGCGTGTCTGTGGAGGAGATGGCCTCCCTGGCCAGGGAGTTGGGGATTCAGGTCGACCAAGACTTGGAGACTGATCAAGGGATTCAAGCGTCTCCTAGAGAAACTGATCAAGGGATTCAAGTGTCCCCTAGAGAAACTGATCAAGAGATTCAAGTGTCCCCTAGAGAAACTGATCAAGGGATTCAAGCGTCCCCTAGAGAAAATATAGCTAGAGCAGCTGAAGATGAGGGACAACAAAAATGTAGTCAGCTAAAAAGTTCATCTGAAAGCCAAGCTCAGATACCTTTGGGAAAATCTGGGCCTATATATGAGGTCAGCCAGAACATTCAAAATGTGCCATCTGCTCCAGTATTTCCATCTCATCAGGAAAACTCTCCCTTACCAACCCCAGTGGGAGGTAACTTTAACTGTATTTCCTTAAAAGCCCCACAGGTTATGGGCTCCAAGTTGGGGTCAGAGCACAGGCCTAGGTGGTTTTGGCCCTTGATCTTTCAGAGTAGAAGCGCTCATAGAAGAGCTAAAAGTTTTGGTATTAAATCCTTCCAACCTCAGAAATCTTATTCAGGTGAAAAATCCATGAAATTATCAAGAACTCCGTGGGGACATCACTTGAATGGAACATTTGGGAGACCACCAAATTCCATCTCTCAGTGTGCCTGGGCCTGGGGTGGGAAACCACGGATCACAGGAGCTCCGAGAAAGCCTGGGGTCTCCCAGGCAGGGGACCCCCATTCTACAGGCTCACTGTCAGCAGGAGCAGTAGGGAAAGCACAGCCTGGGCGAGCATGTGCCCCAGGAACACAGCTGATGGGAGCAGCTCACATCCCATCTCCTCACCCTCAACCCTGTAAGCCAGCAGGAGCCCTACAAAAACTGGCCAGGCCTACTTTTCATCAAGGACCTCAGATGATGACACAGGATAGGCCTTCAACTCCAGTTCTCCAATCAGGATCCCATCCCATACCCAGGAGTAAACTTTTACACAGCTCTCAATTCAAACCCCATCAGCTCATATCATCCCAGGTCAAACCCTCTCAGACCAAACCCTTCCAACCTGTTCCCTCTCAAATTAAGCCCCCTCAGTCCCAGTCTTCCCAAGCTAAACCCTTTCATTCTACATCCCATTGGCTCCAGTCCTCCCAAGCCAAACCCTCTCCATCCAAACCCCCACAGCCCAAGCCCTGTCAGTCCCAGCGTGCCCAATCTAAGACTTCTCAACCCAGATCCGTTCAACACAAGTCATCCTGGAGCAGTCCTTCACAGGCCAAGGCAAACCAGACAAGAGCAGGTCCCAAGAGGATGGGAAAGCATTGAAGACATTCCATACAACTAGGGAAAGTGTTTTGTTTTTAAACCCAGGTGGTTCCCATATAATAATCTAAAGCAGAGTTGTAGTAAAGGCAAAAGATTAATGTTACTTGCATGACACAAAAAGATAAGCTAAGACATTGTTAAAGGAAAACCAGGAAAGTAATTAAGATCAAACAATAAGTAAATCCGTTAAATCTAGCCTTGTGTACTAGATCATACATAAATTGAATCCAGAAATGGAAGATAGGACATAGCAACACTTGGGAAAGAATGGAATTAAGAATCTCTTATTGCACAGTGACTATAAAAAAAAAGTTTGTCATAAAATGATGGCTGCTCCAGTGCTTGCTCAAAAATTGCTACCATCCAGCAGGTAGCCCTGCTTATATGGTTAGACAACTCAGCTTGTTTGATAATCCCAATTTGCTTGGTTGATAAAACTCATTTGACTATTATAGCCATGAGTAGCAAGCAACAAAAGTAGTTATTTTGCCTTAACTTTAAAAATGGTTGATATATGTTTCATATTTATAGTAGTTAAGAAAATTTGGCATGAGAGGATCTGATATATTGTTAATGTCTTTTTACAGTTACATAAGTAACATAATGAGTACATTTTATTAAAAATATATCATTTGCTGTTTAATTTTAGATTTAAAATTAAATGAAAAAGGATGATTTTACAAAGTTTATAGAAAGTATTGTAATGTTTGAAAGAATTCGCATCATAGGATTTATAATTTTATTAAATGCATATTGTTCTAAATATGTAGAATGCTAGTAGCATTATGTAAAAAGATATCCAATTCAAAATGATGAAGTGAAGCTTAACTACATTTTGTTCTGTTTTGGTCAGTTTTTGGGCTTGAACTCAAGGCCTGGGTTCTATAGGGAACAGTGTTAGTTTGAGTGATCATTATATACATTCTTAGTGTTCCCGTGTGCGGCTTACATTTATATTTTATCTTAATTTGCTTTTTTGGGGGGCATGAATGTTGTTAGATAAATTTCACTTACAAAGAAATGCCCAGCAGGCTGCTTTTGGAGACAGTCCTGTAATTCTGTGTGTCAGATGTGTTCCACTTCTTCAAGATTCCTATCTCCTGGCCGTGTGAGGTCCTCTTCTCTCACTCCTTATGGCTTTGCTGCTCTAGACTAAGTGATCTTGAGGCTCCTGAAGAAAAGAGAAAGTAAAAGTGGCAGCAATCTTCATATTTTGAGATTTTTTTTCCAGATTTTTTTCCAGATTTTTTTCCCCTCTTCTAACTTTAAAACTCAGAAAAAAACACATCAGTATACTGCCACCTTCTGGATCTTTTGAATACTTACACATAAAGTCAACTTGGATATATGAAACCAGGGCCGCTTAATTCTTTTGAGGCAAGAGGCCTACCACTTCAGCCATGATGTCAACCCCTACTTAACTCTTTCTGATCTATGCTAACACATTAAACTTTGTGTGTAGTGTTTTCATTTAAGCAGTAAGAACAGTAAAATTTTTTAGTTAGTTGAGACATCATTTTGAATATGTCAAAACTATAACTTTCTTTTATGGATTAGGATGTAGATTATTTTCTCATGCTTTTATTAACCATGCATACTTCCTCTTTTGGTACATGTCTGTTCAGTTCATCTACCCATTTGTTAATTGGATTATTTTTCTTTTGCTGTTGGTGTTTGAGTTCTTTATATGTTTTGTATAAAGATTCTATCTTCAACTTGGTCAGTCTATTGATGAAGCTTTCAAATCAAGTTTTTTCTTCTTTTTTTTTGTATTATAGATTGAACTTAAGGCCCTGTTCTTATTTCTAGATGAATATGGCCTACTAAAATTGGATCAAGAGAATGGCAGCAGCTTCAATAGATCTATATAGAGCAATAATATTGTAACTATGTTATAGTATCACCCAACTAGGAAAAGCCAGGGATTAGATGAATTCACTCATGAACTCTATAAGACCTTTAAAGAGAAAAACACCAATGCTCAAACTATTCCATAAAATAGAAAGGGAAGGAACTTCGTTCTATGAAGCCAGCATTAGCATTATAGTAACACAAGATAAAGATATGACAAGAAAATTATAAATTTCTTTGATGAATATAGACATAAAAATTCTCAAAAAATATGTGCAAATGGAATTCATCAACACATTAAGATCATATACCAGGATCCAGTTGGTTTCATTCCACCCAGGCAACAGTGGTTCTCTATATTCAAATCCACAAGTGGAATACAGCCCATAAATGGAATAAAGGACAAAAATAATAACATGATTATCTCAATAGTTGCAGAAAAGGCCTTTGACAAAATCCAGTATGCCTTCATGATAAAATCCCAGAACAAACTAGAATCGGAAGAATGTACTTCAACGTAACGAAGTTTCTGTGTAATAGCTATATAGCTAACATTGTGAAATAGCTGCATTTTGGAGTAGTCATGCTGCCTTGCGTTTCCCATTCCTGCTCTTTCTACATTGACTATATCCGAGGCCCAGTGTTGATGGGAGGGTTTTAGTCACCTGTAGTCCTTTAATTGAAGTACTGCCAATGCTTAGGCTGGACTGGGCAGTGGCTGGGTGGGTGTGCCCTGGATCTGCGTCCCATGGCTTCAGCTGTGTGGTACATAGCTTGGCAGTGTGCTCAGGGCACCAGGCCCAATTTCCCAGCATCATTCGAGAGAGAAAGTCTAGCCGGAGTGTTTTCTAGTTCCTAATGTACAGGATGGTTCTGTGTATGGATTGAGGTCAGGGATCACTTGTCTGCTTTAGGTCCGGTTTTACTTTACTAAGCTTCTCTTCGTTGTGAACTAGTAGCTGGCCAGTGATCCAGGCAGGTTCTATTTGCTCCAAATGCCCCCGAGTTTGTGTTCCTGGGGGCAGCAAGTCTCCAGGCCTAGGAGTATTTCCCAAAAGCATCCAGGCGTGTTTGGGAGGGAGCAAGTAGTTCTAGAATGGAGGGGAAGAACTTGGGGCTCAGGCACTCTGTGGGTCTCAGTGTATTTAGGCTCTGCCCAGCACTTAACCACTCTGTGGGAGGGACCAGGCTGGGGAAATGATGTGGTCCACGTGACCAGATCCAGAGTTCTTAATCCTGCTTGAGAATAACCTCCAAGCAGCCGGGAGGCAGAGGCCAAGCCTCCTGCTTGCCACAGGCTTGGAGTACTGTTTCACTTCTCACCAAAAAGAAAGGGCCCTTCACCACCGTGCCCTTCACCAACCAAACTCCCCGTGGCCTAAATTCCCAGTGTCGAAGTCAGACCATCTGCCTCTCCATGACTCCTGCCAGCTGTCTCCCCTGTATACACGGTGAAGGGTATACAGTCCCCAAGCCACGATTACTTCTCATTTTCAGGTACTGGAGTCTCAAACAATAGGTCTCTTCTCAAGATGACACCTGCCTCATGGCTTTCTGAGATCCAAGGAGCTGCATGTTTTTCTTCAGCGGTGTTGATCTGTCACACAGGAATAGTCACTGTCATGCTAAGTCCTTTAAGGCTGGCAGGGAGACTGGGTTTAGTTCACACAGCTGTCAGTCTGTCACCTGGGCCCTCTGACTTACCTTGCAGTTGTGGCTTTGGCTTGCCCTCCCAACTTTTGAGCTGTGGTGGATTGGAGCCACCGCCCATTCTTCACTTTTCCCTGTTGCTTTTCTGTTCATCTTGCCTGCTTCTCCCCTATCGCTCCTATGCTAGTGGCAAGAATCCTTCTGGGCACTTGCTAAACAGAAAAAAAAAAGTAGAAACAACAAAGAACTTCCTTTGTATGGACTTTTACCCAACCTTTGGTTTGTGCAATATTGATGATGCCACATCACAGGGTATGAGCATATAGAAGGAAGTTTAGAGGGGGACAAGTAGGCTTCCAGCTGGTCTAAAACAACTTGAAAAAAGCAGATGATAAATCTGTACCCCTCTGTACATCACTACTATAATCACAATAAAAAAATTGAAAAGCAGATAAAGAGGTTGTTTAAAGCCAGGCACTGGTGGCTCATGCCTGTAATCCTAGCTACTCAGGAGGCTGAGATCTGAGGATTGCAGTTTGAAGCCAGCCCAGGCAGGAATGGTCCATGAGACTCTTATCTCCAATTAAACACAGAAAAGCCGGAAGTGGCTCAAGTGGTAGCCTTGACTTGCCCAGGGACAGTGCCCAGGCCCAGAGTACAAGCCCCCAGGACTGGCAAAAAGAAAGGAAGGAAGGAAGGAAGGAAGGAGGAAAAAAAGATAAAAAGATTATTTTTTGGGGGGGTGCGGCGGGTGGTAGAGTGGGGATGTGACTGGGATGAGATCCTTCTAGAGGGTTTCATTCACCAGTTTTGCTGGAACTTCCTGGTACAGAAATTAGCATTAGGACCATACTTAATATGCAAGGAAGTTATAAAGCATAGTTTTATTTGAAGCCATCTTATGTCCAGCTTACTTTGGGAGTTGACTGACTATGTAACAAGAAGAGCATGAACATTAGGAAATGAATTTGGTCTTCGATAGAATTATTGAATAGACATTTGATAGAATAGCATCAATTATTTTAAGACACCTGTGTATGATTTACTATTATTAACAATTCCCAGCTCAGTGTTCTAAAGGTTGCTATTTGTGTAGCTTGCTTATGTCTTATACAACATAGCACCTTATGTGGGCTAGGTAAGTGATGATTGGTGTGAAAGAAAATGAAGCCAGGCACTCGATCAGACTTTCACATACATTATTTCCTCATCTGGAGGAGAAGAGGGAGACAAGATAGAATTCTTTTAATTAAAGTGAGCCCTAGACAAGAGAGTAAGAATAAATGATTTTTTTTTCTTTCACAGTTATGCTTTCCATTTCACTAGATCTTTTCTAAAGTGTATTAATATATCCAACATAGAAGATGATTGCAAATATTCAACTGTGAAAAAGTTTTTGTACTTTCATTTTATTTTTTTTTTACCAGTCTTGGGTACTGTCCCTGAGCCTCTTTGTGCTCAAGGCTAGCACTCTACTACTTGAGCTACAGCACCATTTCTGGCTTTTTATGAGTAGTTTATTGGAGATAAGAGTCTCATGGACTTTTCCTGCCTGGGCTGGCTTTCAATCAGAGTCTTCAGATCTTAGCCTCCTGAGTAGCTAGGATTATAGGTATGAGCCACTGGAGCCTGGCTAGTTTATGTACTTTTAAGTACAGATGGAAATTTGAAGTCCAAATAAGTACTAACATAATTTAGGGGCTTACAAAATAGAATTTTAGGTGTTTTATAATCTGATTAAGCTGCTTCATCTTTGAAATAAAAGTAGTCATTTTTCCCAATCTGAAATGATGAATAGGTGGATGGTCAGATATAATAATAATTGCTTTTTTCCCCCCTACAGTTTCCTCCCTACAAATAAAAGCAGTCTTGGGTAGAAAGATACAAGACTTTTCTCAAGGATCAGTGGCTCGTATAGTAAGCATAATGAGTATTCTATATGATTTCACTGGTTTAACATTCTAGTCTGTAGATTATGATCTCCCTTCTAGCATGTACCTGCCAATTTGGGTCATGTGGTTAGGCAAAAGGTTTTTCTGTCTGCATCTTTGCTATGATACCAAGATAAGTTGCTCTATTATAGCTCTTATTGAAGTGTAATTCTGAAATGAAATAGTGTTGAGAAGTGGTAAAATCGGGTCATGGATGCTCCATCATCATCAGTCATTAATGCTTTTTTTTTTTTGTCCAGTCCTGAGGTTTGAACTCTGTGCCTGGGTGCTGTCCTTGAGCCTGTTTGTGCTCAAGGCTAGCGCTCTACCACCTGAGCCACAGTGCCACTTCTGTTTTTTATTTATTTATTTTTTGTTTTTCTGAGAGTCTCATGGATGTTTCTGCCCAAGGTGAATTTGAACTGTTATCCTCAGATCTCAGCCTCCTGAGTAGGTAGGATTACGAGTGTCGGCCACTTGGCATCCAGCTATTACTGCTTTCCTTATGGAATTGGATCAACTACCATATTGAGACTATTTTTGTTTGATTTCTCCTGCAAAGTCCTGCATGTCTTCTGGCTTTTCCACCACGCATGGATCAGCATGTAGTCCTTACAAGAGGCCTCACAGAAGCTGGTACCATGGTTTCAGACCGCCAGAACTAAGCAAACCTCTTTTCTTTTTGAATTTCCTAGTCTTGGTATATAGCAACAGAAAAATGGATGCAGGCAATCTTTAAAAATCTTCCACGATTGTTCAGTGGTCACAGTATACAAGATATCAGCTTCCTTTTGTAAATCTCATGACATCAACCCCTGGCTCACAGTATTGCGCAAAAGGGCATCCCCCGCCCCCTCAGCCCCTGATGCTCATGATTGTTGCTCTGTGGGAGATTGTCCAGTCTACCTTGGCCTATGAACATTCCATTTGCTGTATCTTACAGGAGATAATCTACTGATAGGCCTCTACCTAGGCCTCAAATAGTGCAAGATGGTGTTTTTTGTTTTTTTTTTTCTCTACAGTCCTCCAGGCTTGTATATCCTGTTTACTTGGCATATTCCTCAGCATTAACTGCCTACTGGAAGTAGACCTCGGAGAGACATGACTGCACCAGAGACCAGATTGCCAGTAAGGTAACACTTTTAAAGCAAATATCTGTTCCCACATGCCAGTGTTCCTCTAGAACACCATCTCTGGCTTCTTGGGAGGACAGACTACTGTGCTCTGTGCCTTTGGACAAGGTGCCAACAGAATTCCTTTTTGCTCACCCGTTGCCTCTGCCA